AATTGTATGGAGTGCCTTCTCTAGGCCGGGCCCTGTGCTAGGCCCTGGGGTTCAGCCGTGAACAAGACAGGCCCTCACCTTGGTGGCACTCGCACTCCTGGGGCCAGGGTGTGGGAGGCAGGTGATTGCACGTTAACCAAACGGTGCGTAAGTGCTAGGAAGAAGACTAGAGAGAGTAGGGGGTAGTGAGTGAGAAGGGAGGCACCTTTAGATGACCACAAGAGCTCCTGTGGGGAGGGGGCATTAGAACAGAGGCTTCAAGGACACGCAGGAGTTGGTAGGGATCTAGGGGCAGAGCACCATAGGCAGAGGGAACGGTGAATGCAGATGTGTAAGAGGCACGTGGGAACTGGATTACTCCAGGGTAACAGAGTCATTCTGGAGGGTGCCGCGTCGTTCCAAAGGAGTTTTGCAATGAATGGAGCTACCCCCTACGTCCCGTTTGTGGGATGGGGATGGTGGTGGCCTCGGCTCCGTGGGCTGCCTTGTGAGAGATTCTGGGAGAAGAAAATCCCAGAGTGGTAAGGCCAGAAGGGACCGTCCCACCCTTCGAGGATTCTGGGGTGTGCTGGAGAGGACCCGGTCATGTAGACAGAAGCCAGTGACCGTTCCTGGGGACTCAGCTGTCTGCCTTGTCACAGAGGGCAGGGTTGCAGATGAGCAAGGGCTCCTGAAGGCTGGTGACGCTTAGCGCCAAGATCAGCAGTGTGACCACCGCCGATAGAGACTGACCTGAACAGCTGAGGCTCTGCTAGGAGGAAGGGAGGGCCTGGAGGCTGCTGGCGCCCCCGGCCACCTCCACGGTCCGTCCCACCGCAGTCCTGGCTCTGGCCCGGGAGACCTGGGTCTGGCCTCCTGTGCTGTTGCCATCTGTGCTCCACGGCTGGCCAGGCGTGCCCTGCTCTGGGGTGCCCATCTGGACGCCGAGCTGACAGCACATCCGGCTCAAGCAGGGCCTCTGACAAGGGCCATCGTCCCTAGATTCATCAGGCTCCCAGTGATTTTGTATTGGCTTGCGTCTGGCCCATCTCTTCCCCGGTGGTACTGCTGGGGAACGGGAAGGGACCCAGGGGCTCACACTTCCTGTCTGCTCTGTGCGGGAGCCATCAGCTCATTCCATCTTATATGAACCCCCCCCTCCCCCCCCACTTTACAGGTGTGGAAACTGAGGCTCAGCGAAGAGGGCGGTTTGTCTAAGGACACCTAGGTGTTAAAAAGCCAAGCCAGGATTTCAACCTCGGACTATTGGATTCCAGACCAGCACTTTCCACCAAGTCCCAATTCCCCACTGGCCTCAGACACCCAGAAGGGACTTGAGGTGTGGGCAGGGGGTTGAGAAAGCCACACCTTCATCCCAGGTTCTGGGCTGGGGAAGGCCCGGGCCATGCTTCTCTGAGTTACGAGGAAGAGGAAGCGAGCCAGCCAGTAGGCTTTATGGGAACATGCTCCCTCCTCCCCGTGGAGCAGCCGGGACCTGGGCTCAGGTGACATATAGCACCTGCAGCTCGAGCCACCACCTGCTTGGCCCACCAGCTACAATATTCCCAGAGCAGCGGGCAGGCGGGCCAAGGGCTTCAGTTCACTGGCCCGGCCTCGGGAAGTCCAAAGAGGGAGGTCAGGAATGCTGCTGCTGGGCTTCCAGAAGCGTCTCCAGTTTCTGTAGCTGTAGCAACGTCTGGAATGGACCCAGGGCAGTCTGACCCCTGCCCAGACCCCCTCCCAAATGCTGGCTCCCACTTGCACACTCAGGGGTCACTGCCACCAAGAATGGTGCCTTGTGCTCTTGGCTTGTTAGGGGCCTTGGAGACTCTGGGGAAAACCCACAGTAGTGGCCCTGTGCCTGAAATGCCACCATCAGCCAGCATCACTGTGGGTTAAGAAATGCCTTGTCCCAGCCACCTTTAAAGAAAAAAGCCGCCTGTAATCTCACAAGGGAGAAAAGGCCAACTCTTGTACATATCAGTGAAATAATAACCGGCCAGAGGGGAGGAAAGAGCACCAACTTCCTGTCAGGCTCATTAGACTTGAACTCTAGCCATGAGCCAGGCCTCCATGCCAGAGGCCTCTCTCTGCTCACCCGGCCCCACCTCTGCCCTTCGGCCTCCCTCAAAGGCCTCCCCTTGTCCTGCCCCGGGGCCCCTGTGGATCAAGACCCCACCAGCCCTCACTTGAACCACTGTAGCAGCCTCTCGGCTGGTCTTGGTGGCTCTACCCACCCTCCACAGAGGCCACAGAGTCTTTCTTCTCACACGCAGCTCCGACCCTCTCTCTCCCCACCTCAAAGCCTCACCATGACTCCCCAGAAGCCCCAGAACTGGATCCTGACATTAGCCTGGCCTTCAGGGCCTTTTATGGCCCAGTTAGAATCATCAGTCCAACCCCACCCCTGAGTGTTGGAGGGAACGGACTCTGGGTTTGCTGTGTGACCTTGAGCAAGTTACTTGACTTATCTGAACCTCGATTCTTCATTCTGAAAGGTGAAATCGGCCGCTGCCACAAAGAGAGCAGGGTTTAAATTGTGTGATTCCAAAGAGCTCATGCCTTGTAGCCCTGGGCCAGACATACAGTCAGGGCTCCATAAAGGTAGCTGTCCTTAATTACCACTGGTCCCACGAAACCACTAAAATATTCTCCCACTGTGCTGTGCTGTTTCCTGTTTTTGAACCTGTGCAGGTGCTGTGTTCTCTGCCTTGGCAACACGGTGAATTCCTATTCCTTCAACACCCATCTCAGAAAGTGCCCTGACCAGTGTCATCTCTCCTTTCTTAGGACACTCCTCCATATTGGCCAAACAGCTGACCTGGAATTTTTCCATTTACTTGTTGATCCTCTACCATACGACTGTGGGCTCCCAGGGCAGCGGCTGACAAATGACTGGACCAAACCATCAAGGAAGGACTGGGGTGATGGGGAGGGGGAGAGGTGAGGGGAGAGGGTTTCTGTGGTTGGCCACTGCAAAACAAAACTTCCATTCATTCAATCATGCATTCACTCATTCATTCATTCATTTAACAAATATATATTGACCTCCTTCTCTGACTAAAACCACTTGCTGACTTTCTACAGCTTCTAGAATCATATCCCAAAACTCTCCTCCGTGGCCCACAAAGCCCTGGAGATCCAACCCTGTGAGACCTCACCGACCTCAGTCTTCCTGTCCCTCTCTGCTCCAGAACCCTGGCACCCCTTCGGTTCCTCAAGGAAGGCCATGTTCTAGAATGTCCTCTTCCTGACCTTTCCAGGCTGGCCCCCTGGAGAGGCCCTTCCGGCTCACTCTGCTTAAATGGGGTCTCAGCCCTTGCTTGGCACACCCCATCTCAGCCCCACATCTGTCTCCTTCCTCACACTCACAGCCCACACCCCAGACACACTTGCGGGATTAGGCAATTAGCACCCGCTCCTCACTAGGCTGTGAACTCCCCACTTCCGAGCCTGCTTAGCCTCTCTGGTGCCTGCTGGAGAGGCCTCGCCTTCAGAAAGCCGCCTGGAGAGCCCTGGGAGGCCAGAGCCAAAAGGGGCTTTGGTGAGAGCGTAGGTCCACCTCCTCGCGTTGTAACAATAATAAAAATAATCATAATTCCAACAATAACAACAGCTAACACTTCCCACGTGCCAGGCGCTGCTCTTTCCATGCACTGTTTTCTTTAATCCGTGCAACAATCCCATAAGGGAAGGTTCATTATATCCCCCACTGGACCGAGGGGAAAACTGAGGCTGGGTGAGGTTGACTCGCGTCCCCCGCGACCCCCCCCCCCGCCCGTTCCCTTTCCCAGCCCAGACCAAAGAGTCTGCGCCCTTACCAACTACTGGGCTACACTGCCAGATGACAGATGACTGGGGAATAGCCACAACAAATACCACAGCGATGGCAGGGCCGTGACAAGCCGGAACTAGCTGGACACTCTCTATTTTCAGCGGTGTGACCTCAGACAGGCCACATAACCTCTCTGGCCTCAGCTTCCCCATCTGTAAAATGGAGGTAAATGTATCCCCTTCATCAGATCAAGCATTCTCAGGAGGGAGGCCTATGGGGCCTTTACTACTGAGTGGAGGGGCCTGGACGCCATCAGGGCAGGATTCTGGGGGTCCTGAAGCACTGCCTCTGGGCCCAAGGCCTCCCCCACAGGCAACCCCACACACAAAGCCAGCCCTGCCCACAACAGCTCTATGCCTGGCTCCAGCAGGACCCTGCCAGGGCAGCGGGAGTAGAGTCATAAACACCCTTCCTGGAGAGCCCTCAGTGACTGCGCGCTCCCCTCTGGAGAGGGGAGATGACATTGGGGGTGATTACACCCAAGGGTCCTGGGTGAGCAGCGGGCAGCCGACCTGCTCCGAGTGGAGCCGTGAGCCACAGGGACCCCAAGCACCCCCAGTCCTGACACCTGCTTCCCTTGCCCCCACGGGTCCTGGCAGCGGGAACGGGGCGTCGCTGGAGCCTCCCCCGGGCCGTGCCAACCTCCCTGTGCCCAGACAAAGCCCCCTCCCCCTGGCCTCTGGGGGAGGGGCAGGCGGGGAGAGGGAGCCAACAAAGGCAGCCAGTGGGGCTGCGCCTGGGGCTCGGGCGACCCCCTCCCCGACCTGCCCAGAGCGCCCACACCCCCTCCTGCCACTCGGCCGCCGGCTCGGCTGGGGCGCCCGGCACCGTTGCTATGGCGGCCGCTCTGGGGAAGCTGCAGCTGGGTAATTATTGCGAACATCCATCCTGCCTCCTGCCCGCCCGGGAGAGCAGGGGAGCGAGCAGCCGGGGCCAGGCCAGCCCCTCCTCGCCCGCCGGGTGGCCGCACCCTGGCCTGGCCCGGCGCCGGAGGTATGCGGGGGAGGAACGCCGCGCAGGCAGCCCGGTGGGCAGACGGCTACCCAGCTCTGGCAGGGGCCCGCAGGGCTGCCCGGGAGACCCCTGCTTTCGCCCCTGCCCCCCACCCCTGGCCCACCCTTGGAGCTGACCGACCAGCCCGGAACTTGTTTTTTCTAACTATAAACACACACCACACACAAAACCAGCCAGAGAGCCTCCTTTGTTCAAACAGAATCTTTCCTTGGCCTTTTTTGGGGGCAGTGGGAGCCAACAGCGCCTGGTCTGGGCTACGGCCTCTTACACGGGACCGTCCCCCTAGATGAGGAGGTCCCCCTGGGGCCCCACCGTGGGCTCCGCCGCCTTCTCTGGCCCAGAAGCTCGCCCTGGCCCCGGTGTCTAAATATAGCTCAGCCTGGCTGAGCCTGAGGTCACACACACTCCCGACTGCCTGGGGTGACCATGCTCAGGCCGGCGAGTGACGTCCATGGGTTTGGGTATCAGACGAGTATTTCAGGAGCCAGGGCAGTGCTGGGCTCAGAGCCCCAGCCGCGAAGCAGGTGTGCCTTTCCCCCGGGGCTCATGGACCCCTCAGAGAGACTTGCAGCCATGGCTTACAGAGCACACACTGTCAAGGGGACACAGACAGGCTCCCTCACACACCGGAGGCAGGATGGGAAGAGGGCCCATGAGGCGATGTCAGGTTTGAGGGAAGGGGTGGGGTCCGGGCAGAGGGGAGAGGGGGCAGGCACAGCCTCTTGTGGGCAGGAGTGGGGGGCGCACCTCGGTCAGCATGCAGGGCCCAGGAGCAGCGGGAGGCCACTCTAGCAGGCCAGGGGTCAGCAGGCTACAGAGCACGGGGACACTCTTCCTCTCCTTTGGCCCCTGTTGCCCCTTGGGGCTCTGCACAGGCCGGGACACTTGGCAGAGGGCACTCGGCAGGAGAGATCTGCCGGAATCCTTGATTTCCAAAGGTCTCTGGTGGCAAGAGAGGAAACGGAGGGGCCATGAGGGCGGTGGGGAAGCTGGCACGGGCCACCGGTAAGGCAAGGACCCCCAGGAATAATGGGTTCGAGGAGAACAGGAAGACCAGACGGGACTTGGGGGCTGAGAGGGAGCAAGGGCTTGGTCTGCGTCTCTGTTTGCCCAGGGGTTTGGGCTGCCTGTGTATCCCGCCCCCCAGACTTGGGTCATCTAGGTGCTGACCAGGGCCCCGCAGGGGAGGTGGGCATTCCAAAATAAGAGGCAAAATGTTGGTCAAAAGGGAGCCCAGCCCTGGCATGTCACCACACGTTGGGGCCCCGGGGAGAAGGTCATCTGCTCCTTCACCACAGATGGAGGGAAAGCGGCCTGGGCTCCAGCACAGCCTTCTGGGCAGGGGCCGTCCGGCCCCGATGGCCTTTGGCCCTCACACTTACAGTCACGGCAATAAATCTTCCCAATGGGCCAAGTTTTCCATCCGCAAAGCTCTTCCCCATCCAGCATCTTACACTGGCTTCATTCGAACAGCCCTGGTGCTGGGCTGGGCAGGAGGAACAGCCATCGCAGGCGTCCAGAGACTGAGGCCCGGAGAGGCGACCTGACCTGCCCAGGCAGGGAAAGAGGGAGGGATTGTGATGTCAGGTGCCCGATAAGTGGTGGGTACCAGACACGCTCACTCAGGCTGCAGCTAGAAAGTGTCAGGAGCAGAGCTTGAACTCATGGCTGACCCCCGGTCCAGGGCGGCTCTGTCCTCCTGAGACAGAGGCTAGCAAGGGTCTGAGGTGGGGCCACACTCCACTCCCTGTGCCAACATGTCTTCTGAGACCAGAAGCCAGAGGAGCAGGGGCCCAAGACAAGCATAAATACCCATAGCAATTATCCAGTCTGACAGTGACCCCTTCTGTCTTACACACGGGGAAACTGAGGCTCTGGCCAGGACCAGACCCAAAGAGCCTGCTGTTTCCCAGATCATGGAGTGGCTGGAGCCGGGTGGGTAAGTCCCATGTATTCCCAGAGCTCTGTGGGGTGCAGCCATCCAACAGTGCTTGCGTTTGGAATGTGAGACAAAGAACTGTGGGTGTAAATTCAGAAGGAAGGGTTCCGGGCCAAGCTCGCGGCTAATAGCGGCCCTGGGAGTCGCAGGTCACTGGGGTAAAGCGGCTCGGGTCAGGAGGGCTGAGGAAGGCCACACCACAGCCAGCACCCGCCATCTTCAGAAACCCAGAGGGTGCAAGGGGCCGTGACGGTGCGCGGCGGGGCGCCCCACGCCCTCATCCCTCCGTCTGCCTTCCTCCTCCCTCTGTCCCTCTCGTCCTGGAGGGCAGTCCCAGGGCTGGGCACAGGGCATACCGGGGTGGGTCAGCAGCCGTGATCCGGCCCCCTTGGTGCTCCATTGTCAGTTCCTCGTCTGCAAAACGGACGTCGTGGCGGCCATGTCCTGAAGTTGTTGGAAGGGTGCGCTGACACGTGTGGAAGGCCGGGGTGATGGCAGCTGTGTTCATGTCACTGACTGTAGATAATAACGGCGGTGGTGATTAGCTGCAAGCCAGCTCCCTGCCTGGCATTCACGGCAGGCAGTGCAGGGCCCCTCCCCGCCCCCCTCCGCCGCTTCCAGCTTTGCGTCTCACACCCAGACCCAGACCAGACCCTTCTCCCATCAACATGCCAGGTTCACCCCAACCTCGGGCTTTTGTTCGGGCTGTTCCGCCGACCCCGGAAGGTGCTTCCCTTGCTCCCCAAATCCCACTCGTCTCTCGATCCCTTTCCTCACCAAGACACACACACGCTTCTCCAGCCTTCGTGTATCTTGGGCTCCCCGGGGAGTCAGCACTACCTTCTGGCACACATTTTTAGCTCCTTGCCATTACAGGACCTGGGCTTTGAGGCTGTATAGGCCTGAGTTCAGATCCTGCTTCCCCTCCCTCTGAGCCACGGCTCCCTCACTTACAAGGTGGGGGCAATTACAGCACCCAGTGCAGGGAGTGCCTCAGGCTTGGTGTGGGGTCAGGGGCACTGCAGGTACTTTGTAAGGAATAGGCCATTATTACGGTTCTATCTCTTTGGGTTCCTGCTATGCTTTCCACCTCCCAAGCCTGCCCTTCTTTGTTCCACACTGCCCGTGTGGCGGAAGCCTTAGGAAAAAGAGCTCCCAAAAGGGGCAGGGACTTCACCAAACTTCCTCTTCCTTTAGATATGGGAGAAATTTGGAGGCTGGGAGATTCCTCCGTTTTCTCTGAAGTCACCCCAAGCAGGAGGTCACTCACTAGCAGGACAAACCAAGATGGCTGGAAAGTTCCCTGTAATCCAGGTTTCAAAGCCATCCCAATAGAGTGATTGGAGGCTTGGGAGGTAAGGATCATGCTGGGGAGAGATGGTCTGATACAAAAATGTGATACACTGGGCAGCTGAGTGCCAGTGATGTGCACAGAAGCAGGCGGTCTATGCCCTGTGTGGGAGTGTGGCTTTGCTCTCTGGCTTCCCCGGGCTGCGATTTTTTAGTACTCGTCACAGATGGGGTACCCAGTGTCTTCAGTAGTTCTGGGAGGTTAGCCAGGTACCTATCCCAGAGAAATTGCTCCGTGCACAATGAGGCCTGCCCAGGGCCGTTTGTGGAAGCAAAACAATAGAAATCATTTAAATGTTCAATAGGGGACTGGACAAGAAACGACGGGCCAGCTCACATGGTGGAATAGTGCTAAGTTGTTAAAAAGCAGGTGGTTGTATGTCTGCGGACCCAGAACAACGCCCATATGACATTCAGTGAAAAATGAGGCACCTTGCAGAACAGAACATGCAGAACGTTACCACTTATGTGAGAAGCACACACACCTCTACATCCATAGTTATAGATACAGTTGATGCAGATATAGACGAAGGTATAGTCACACCCGCAGATGGAAATGTACATACAGAGGGAAAGATACAGACATATACACAGGATAGCAAAACGTTCAAGGGCATACCCACTAACAGGCAGTAATGTTTGAGGGGAATGAGGCTCAGGAAATTCAGGGGAATTACTCCGGTTTTTGTCTGCTACATTTTGTTAATGCTTGAGATATTGCAAGGAGAACGTTTCCCTGAAATATGTGCATAACGCTAAAAATTAAAAAAGAAAAGAGCCTGGCCACGTGTCTGGCATCTCAAGGCAGGGCTGGGCCGGGATCTCACGGGAGGCTGCTCTGTGGGGGTCAGGCCCGCTGGGTAGTCTCAGGCTGAGCCTGGAGCTCCTTCCTACACCAGCTGTGGCTCTTTCTCCCCAAGGCCAGAGGCAGAGAGAACTGGCTTTGGTGGCAGCAGCAGCACATGCAGGTTTCCTAGTCTGGGAAGTCTGGAAGTATGTGAACGCTGAGCACTTAGCCTGCAAGATGGGCTCACTTCCACCCCAAGATGCAGGGAGAGCCCTGGAACCTGGCAGATGGCCACCTCGGAACATGTAGGCACAGAAGCGGGTGAGCGTCCCGTGAGCCCCAGGCCTGTGGTTCCCAGACTGTGTGTTCCCAGACTCTGCTTGCACCTGAGCCGGATGAACACTGTGCCCCTTGCTTACACAGACCAGCAGCCAACGAGGCCATGGGTGGGAGCTGAGAGAAGGCCATTCATGTACATCCTGGGTGCTGGACCCTGAGCTAAACGCTTTTCCTGCTGTGTATCTTTGGCCTTCCAACAATCGTTTAGAATCGTTCTTTTTTATTTTAATTTTGGGTTTGTTTGTTTGTTTGTTTGTTTTTGGACAGACAGAAGTTGAGGAGGTTTTTCAACCTGATGAGGACAACAAAAGGTTAAAAGCCTTCCAACAACACAAAAGGATATATAGTGAAAAGCTGATCTTTTCCTCACCTTCTCTCCCCAGCCACCCAGCTCCCTCCCCAGAGAATCCACGCACATGAACATGTGTGTGTCTATTCACACCCCTCCTCTGATACTAGTGGAAGGTCTCCACACAAAACGTTCTGTACCTTGCCCTTTTCACTAAAAATATGTATCTTAGAGCTTCTTCCATTGCGGTACATGCGAGCTGGCTCATTCTTTTTCATGACTGGATTTCCATGGCACATGGAAGTCTTTAATATTCATGTAATCGATCTAGAATTCTACTCCCATGGTTTTCTGCCTTTCCCCTGTGCTTACTTCTGTTGTGCACAACAGCCCTGGGAGGCGGGCAGTTCCCCATGTCCCAGGTGAGGGAACTAGGGTGACCGACCATCCCCGTTTGCCTGGGACTGTCCTAGTTTTAGCAGGGAAAGCACCGCATCCTGGGGAAATCCTCATTCCTAGGCAAACCAAGATGGTTGTTCGCCCTAAAGGAAACCGAGGCTCAGAGGGGGTAGGGACATTCTCCAAGACCTCGTGCTCGGTCAGCACAGGCTACCTGATGATGACGACACCTCAGGAGGACTGGCAGCATCTCCTGCTTAGTAAGTGTTTCCTCCGTGTGTAACTGCACCTCCTCTGGTCTCACCACAGCCTGGGAGGGAGACTGCAGGGAATCACGAACAGAACCTGTGGTCTCCAAACCTGGGTTCCATCTCGGCTACAGGGCTTGCTCGCGTGTGTGACCGTGATGGTCAGTTCCATCTGAGCCTCTGATCCTGGGCCCAGAACAGACACTCAACAAGTGTCTGTTAAGTGAGAAAGCAAACGAATGAATGAATGAATGAATGAAGTACTAACATTTGTTATTCACATTTTATAGGTGGAAAAACTGAGGCACAGAGAAGCAAAGTCACTGACTCAGAATCACACAGCTTGTACGCATCAAGGTCAGGATTTGAATCCACGTGGAGGCTCCAGAGCCCATGAAACTCTTCCCTCTTCTGGAATGTTCTTGTCCACATTACCCTCCATTCGTGCCCCCCTGCCTCTGACTCCCAAGGTCAGTCCCTAGTTCACTCCCTCCTTTGCTGCCCTGCACTGCCCAGGCCCCTGCTTCCTTTCTCAAGAGTCTGCCCTTCCCTGCTCCTTGCTCTTGGCTCAGGGGCCCTGCTCTGCACCCCACTCTGTCCCCCTGCACTGGATGCTCGTCTGAAGTCCAATGTCTGAGCCCCAGCCTCCTCCATGGACTTTGTTTCATTTGTTCAATTCATTTGTCCAACTCTCCATTCCTTTGCTCAACAAACATTTACTGAAACTGAAATGAGCCAGCTCAACCCCTGGTTCTGGAAATGCAGAGATGAATCTAGCCTGGGCCTTGTCCTCAGGGGACAAGGAAAACCAGACAAAGAAACAGCACTTGTGACCCCGCAAGAAAGCACTCCGGTGGAGATGGCCCAGGCACACAGCGGCAGAGGGAGTGGCGGTGGGGAGCTCCCAGTCTGGGGGCCCTGGGAAAGCTCCCTGGGGAAGCTTATGCCAGCGTCTGGAAAGATGAGGAAGAGTCAGTAAGACAGAGAGAAGGGGGAAAAGAGAGAGCTCGGGGAGGGGCGTTGTAACACCCAGACAAACCGGCCTGGAGGTAGGTGAGACCAGAGGCACTTAGAAAGTGCAAGTTGTTCCCTACAGCTGAGGCCCAGGCTGTCCTCAGGTGGGACCGGGTGGCCTTGGGAACCCCACCCCCTCTCCTGGTTACCCAGCCAGCTCCGCGCTGAGCAGGGTTTCCAAGAATCTCATGTCTAGGAACTGACCAGGAAAAAAAAAAAAAAATCAGCGATGTGGACATGGAATTATGTATGTATGGAGGCTGTTTATCACGGTGTTCTTTGTTACAGCAAACAAGTGCAAACAGTGCCCAGCCATGAAAAATCACCACTTTAGCCAAGAATCCACCACTGGCTGGAGTCATCCGAATGGCTTAGAAATCAGGTTAGCAGAGGTTATTTAACGGCACTAGAAAAATGCATCTGGCGCAACGTTAAGTAAAAAGCAGCAAAATGCAGGGGCTCCTGAATTTCGTACACCATGCCACTCTCGATCTCCGGGTTGTGAGTCTGAACCCCAGGTTGGGTATGGAGGTTACTTAAAATCTTTAAGGGGCCCCCGGGTAGCTCAGTCAGCTGAGCGTCTGGCTCTTGGTTTCCACTCGGGTCATGAGCTCAGGGGGCTTGGGATTGAGCCCCGCATCAGGCTCTGCCGTGCTGAGCCTGGAGCCTGCTTGGGATTCCCTCTCTCCCTCTGCCCCTCCCCCACCTGCGCGCGTGCGCGCTCTCGCTCTCTCAAATTAAAAAAATAAAAATAAAATTTTTAATCTTCAAAAAAACCCAAAGACAGCATGATACAAACTAACTTATTATTCTAAGTTATAAGTATGTATAGATACATGTATATATAAAGATATTAGGAAATGCGTCAAATACTTCACAATGGTTACCTCTGGTGGTGGGCTAACCTAGGGGTTGTATTTCCTTTTTTAAGATAATTTCCTGTGTTCTCTGATTTTGCAACAGTGGGCCAGTCTCACTTTTATTTTCAGAGGCGGAATCAAGGAGACAAGGTCCGTGAGGCCACAACTTCCCTTTCCAGTCTCTCTCGAACCCTCCATTGAGCCACACAGAACGTCCTGTTGCCTCAACATCCCTGTGCCTCCAGTCTCTGAGCTTTTGTCTCTGCTCTTCCTCCATCTGAGTGCCCTTCCCTTTCCCTTTCCATCCTGTGAACCCCGGCTGCCCGCCTCCCCCGCCCCACTCCCACCCCCTGGCCTCCCAGGCCTGCCTCAGGGCCCTTCCTCTGAGGACCTCACACACACAGAGCACCCACCCTGTGGAAAGGCAGGTTTATGGACCCAGACCCTGCATCAGAGCCTGGGCTGCTGGAGGGAAGGACCCTGCCTCATCTATACCCTCCCCAGATGCTCTATATGGGGCCGAGGACTTATTTTTATTTACTCTTCACCACAACATTTTTTGAATATGTCTAAACCTACAGAAAATAATGCAACAAACACCCCTCTACCCTTCAGTTAGATTCTCCACTATTCGCTTTGAAATTCCCTGTCTTGCTGACCCAGTGCAGACATCTTGGCCAGAGCTGGGAGCTTGGAAGGTGCTCAATGCTCGCTGGAATGAAGGAAAGGAGGAACGAGGACATGGTATTGCTCTCTCTCTCTCTCTCTCTCTCTCTCTCTCCTCTGCCTCGGGGAGAAAACTTGCAGAGCAAAGCACGGCTTTTTCTAAAATGCAGACACAGGCACCCACCTGCTTGGAAGCTGGCTGCCCACAGTCAACGCGGCCCCCGCACAGACCCCCAAGGCCCCGTCATGCCTTCCCGCCCCATCGCCTGCTGACCCCTGGAAGACAGTGTTGTCCCGTACCTGCAGCCCCGACAGGCTCTGGCACTGGTGATTTGGGGCCTCTGTCATCCTCGCTCACCTGGCAAGGGCGCATGGCCTCTCCCTTCCCCATCCCTCGCAAGGGTCACATCCTCAGAGAAGCAAGTGGAGGCCTTTGCTGACCTTTCCTGGGCCCGCTGGTACCGAGGGCAATCTCTGTGAGGGCGACCACTTGTCCTGGTTTGTCCGGGACTTTCCGGTTTGGCACTGAAAGTCCTGTGTCTCGAGGACACCTCAGCCCCGGGCAGATCCCGTGACTGGTCACCCTAGATTCTGCTTCCACTCCTCCCACCAGGCCTGCTAAGGCCACATAACAGGCCCAAGGAGATGTTTGGTGTCACTGGCTGACTGCCTGGAGGGAGGGAGGGAGGGAAGAAGGAAGGAAGGAAGAGGAAGGAAGGAAGGAACAAATGAACAAATGAGTGAATGAATGAATGAATGAACAAATAACCCCACCTCCCTTAAATCTTTGCTCAGATACCCCTTCTCCGCAGGGCCTCCTTGGCTCCCCTGTCTCAGCTAACAACCTCTCCAGTACCCTCCTCCCTCTCCCTGCTGGACGTGTTCTTCCGGCATTTATCACGAACCAGCATTCTCTCTGTGTCACTATTCATTTCCTTTGGGGTCTGGCTCCCCTATGAGAGTGTCCCCTCTACCCTGGCAGCGGTTTCCCTGTTGTGTTTGCTGCTGGATCCCCAGTGCTTCCAATAGCAGGTGCTCAGCAGGCAATAGTTGAATAAAAGAATGAACGGTGACCGAATGAGTGGACCCTGCACTTTCCCCGCTCCACCTTCTTTTTATGCATTTCGTCTTTTGTTTAGTTTGTTCGACAGACATCAGCACACACCGTGTCCATGCAGGGTGCGGGCGGGGGCCTACAAAGCAGAGTGCCCAGTCTAACGGGCTGGTGGTGGGAGGGACAGAGACCAGGCTGTATGTGGGTCCGCAGACCTGGCATTTGGAGCTGGGGTCCCTGGGGCAGGACTTGGGCACTGCAACAGACCTAAGAGGCCAGGATCATAGTAACCATGGCCAAAATATCTTGAACATTTGCTATGTCCCACCCACTGTTCTGAGGCTTTTACATGTAATTTTCTCAGTGAATTCTCAAATTGTGGAGGTGCAGATGAGGAGACTGAGGCTAGGGAGGCTGAGTTACTTTCCCAGGGGGCCACAGCAGTAAGTGCGGGGGTTGGAATCGGACTCTGGAGCCAGCTGCTAACCTTGCTACCATAGGGAAGGAAGGAGGCTCGCGGGGGGGGGGGGCCCCCGTCTCTTACTGAGGTCACCGAGCTGCTCAGAGGCAGGGCTGGGCTTCACAAAAGGGTCCACAGGACTACAAAGGCAGCCTGGGTCCCAGTAGGTGGCTGTCCTAGAGTTGGTGCTGAGGGGGATGAAGGGAAGATGGACAGGAAGCAGGGGAGGGGTACAGAGACCAGGCCAGGCCGGTTGGGGTCCATGTTGAAGGGGTACAGAGAAACCGCCTGGGACAGGCAGACAGGGGGTACCCAGCCTGTCTGGGGAGATGGGGGCAGACTTCTTGGTGGCGGTGTCCCCTTCCTCTTCTCTCCTAGCCAATGGGTTGGGAAGCTGTGGCCAACTGTCTCCAAGCCTTCACATGGGCTGGCCACCCATCCGCTGGGTCTGGAGGGGAGCATACAAAATGCCAGCGTGGGCAAAAGCCCCCTCAGGGGCCCTTCCTCCTGGGCTCCCTGCCTCTGTCAGCCTGGCTCACCCCAGTGATACCAAAGCTCATCCCATGTCAGGAGCTACGCTGAGTGACCCCAGGCACTCTAACTTATTCAGAGCTTACACCCACCTGTCACAGGAAAATCAAGTTCAGACCGTGGGGTAACTGCCCACGTCACCAGTGGAGGTGGGGTTCCAAGCCCGACTGTCTGGCTGCAGAGCCTGTGCCCCTCACCCCTACCCGGGAGGTGGGGCCCTGGCTCACCCTGGCGGCCACCCTGCCAGCCTGTGCATTGAGCAGACACCACATTCAAGCCCCTTCTGTGTCCCCACAGCCCAGCAGAGGGCTCAGAGCGAGTAGGCACACATGAACACATCTCTTGTTCAAAATCTAGCAGCAGTGACTTCCTCCTTGGGCTGCTCCCTCTCCAGGTCTGGGAAATAATAGCCCAATCCCCAATTTGGACAGGATTCAAGGCTTTTCAGAGGTGTTCCTTCCTTGGAGGACAGCAAAGCAGCAAGGACACCGACTTTCAAGAGGCAAACCTGGAAATGAACCTTAGCTCCACCCTCGACTGTTTGCAAAGGGCAGGCGGCAGCTCCCTGAGCCTCAGTTTCCCCATCTGTCACATGGGGTTGATGGTATTGTAAGGAGACAACATGAGCCTACGCCAGGCACACAGTAGGTGCTTGGGAAGGGTGGTTTCTTTCCAGAGGGTCACAACCACCTCCGGGGTCAGTGCCTGACCACCCTCCCTACTTTTAAACCATGAATGTTTTAAACCATGATGTGTCGGAAACATACAGAACAGCACAGAAAGGAGCTGGGCCTGGCGGAAGTGCTCAGCTAGGCCCAGATGGAATCTGAACAGGGCCTCCACCTTCAGAGTGTTTCCCTTGGGCCCCGTGTCTGTATCACGTGCCTTACGTGTGCCATGTCCTTCCTTCTGTCCTCTCTGCTTCCTCTGGAGGGGGTCCTTGGGTTACCCCACCTTACAGGTGGAGAGACCAAGTGTCTGAGAGCTGAGGTTGGCTTACCCAAGGCCCATAGCCAGGGAGTGGTTGAAACAGGATTCGGTTTTACATCCAGGTAGGTTTACCGACATGTTCTCCATGTATTATCAAATGAAAAAGCAGCATGTAGGGCAGCAATATAATTTGGGAGAGTATCATTGAGATGTAACAGGGGAGGGGGCACTTGGGTGACTCAGTTGGTTGAGTGTCCGACTCTTGATTTTGGCTCAGGCCTTGATCACGGTCATGAGATTGAGCCCCGCACCTAGGTCCACACTGACAATGGGATTCTCTTTCTCATCTCTCTCTCTCTCTCTCTCTCTCAAAATAGAATAGGATAGGATAGGATAGGATAGGATGGAATGGAATGGAATGGAATGGAATGGAATGGACTAGACTAGACTAGAATAGAATAATAATAAAATAAAATAAAATAAAATGTAACGGGAAAAAAATAAATAAAATGTAACAGGGGTTGTCTCTACATGATAGGATTATGACCTTACCATTTTTTTTCTTTTGCTTACCTGTATTTCCTAACTTTTTATAGCAGCTTTATGCTGATGTAATTCACATATCACACAATTCACTCATTTAGAGTCCAATTCAACGGTTTCTGGTGTATTCACAGAGCTGTGCATCCAACACCACTATTTGCTAAGTTTGTCATCATTCCCCCACAAAACCCTACTCATTAGCAGTCACTCCCCATTTCCCCAAACCCCTGCTCCTAGCCATAAGCAACCACTTTTTGTCTCTCCAGATGTGTCTGTTCTGGACCTTTCATATAAATGGATTCACACAATGTGTGGTGCTTGTGTCTGGCTTCCTTTACTTAACATGCCTTCAAGGTTCACCCGTGCTATAGTGTGCGGTCGGCACTTTATTCCTTTTAATGGCTAAGTAGCATCCCATGTTATATTTCTCAATTCATCAGTTGAAAGACATTCAGGTTATTTCTATTTTTCTGGGTATTATGAGTAATACTTCTATGAACATTTATGTCATTTGTGTGTGTGGACATGTGTTTTCAAGTCCCTGGGGGGATCCACCTAGGAGTGGAATTGCTGGGGCATAGGATAATGCTATGTTTCATCTTCTGAGGATGTTTTCCAGAACATCTGCACCACTTTACATTCCCACCAGCAGTACATGAAGGTCACATTTTCTCTGTGTCCTCGCCAACACTTGTTATGATCTGTCTTTTTGATTAGAGCCATCCTAGTGGGTATGATGTGATATCCCACGTGGTTTTGATTTGCATTTCCCTGATGGCTAATAGTGTTTAGCATCTTTCGTGTGCTTATTGGCTCTTTACATATCTTCTTGGGAGAAATGTCTACTCAGATCCTTTGCTCACTTAAAAAAAACATGGGTATGGGGCGCCTGGGTGGCGCAGTTGGTTAAGCGTCTGACTTCAGCCAGGTCACGGTCTCGCGGTCCGTGAGTTCGAGCCCCGCATCGGGCTCTGGACTGATGGCTCAGAGCCTGGAGCCTGTTTCCGATTCTGTGTCTCCCTCTCTCTCTGCCCCTCCCCCGTTCATGCTCTGTCTCTCTCTGTCCCAAAAATAAATAAACGTTGAAAAAAAATTTTTTTTTTTAAAAAACATGGGTCATTTGTGTCTTTATTATTAACTTACTGAAGTAGGATTTGAACCCACGTCCTGTCCTACTGTCAAGCAATAGATCCTGCCCATACAGTCATGCACCCCTGACTCCGGGGAGATCTGGAAGCATCCTGGAGTCCTGCCTACCCTCTGGGCAAGTGAGGGCCAGCACAGCTGCTACGGAAGCCAGCCCAGCTGGGGCCAGGCCCACGACAGGTGTCCAATGAGGGTCTGTGGATGGACACAGACGGACAAACAAGTCCACCTCCAGGAACCGGTGAACCAAAGGGAAGAAAAAACACCCGGAACAAAAAGTCTGCGCCCCAGAAGGAGGAAATGGCCAAGACCCTGCTCCGGGAGCTGGAGATAAAGCCCTGAGTGGCCGAGAAGCCTCCATGGCAACTGCTTCTTGGTGGCAGCAACCTATCCGCCTGTTTTTATGCTACTGACTGTTGGCCTGTGTAAGGCTGGGAAGGGGAGGCCCGGAGACATTAGCAAGGAACTGGAGAGCGTATCTGTCCAGAGGGGGACTGTAGAGTATCGGTAGGGGCCATGGCGAGTCAGAGGAGAACAGGGCCGTGGTGGGGCGTGACCCTGCTGCAGTGCCCCTGCCCTGGCTCCGGAAAGCCACTGCTTTGTCACCAAGGGCACCTGAATCCTGAACACCCAGCTCTGGAATCCAACTGCCTGACTGTGAATCCCAGCCTCACCATCTCCTGGCTGTGTGGCTGGGACAATTACTTCCCCGCTCTGAGTCTTGGCTCCCCTCTAAGCCTCTCCTGCAAGAATGGAGAAACCGGGTGCAGATGAAATGAGACCATAACAGAGCCTCTTGGTGGGGCCACGCTGCTGCTAGGCAAGCTGTGGACAGCAGGGCTCACCTACTGGGTGTCCCCAGGCCCTGGTTTCAGAGCTTGAAGACTCTCATCCTGTGAAATGGCAGGCAGACTCTCCCAAGAACCCTGGAGACCAGCCTCTTGCAGGAAGCTTAACCGTCAGACAGGAGCCTCAGCGTGTGGCTGCTGGGCAGGGCCGGCTTCAC